CGTGCTCATTGGCCGCCGGTCCGCAGCAAGGCGCCGAGTGGCTGGGGCGGGCCGTCCGTCGGCTGCAGCAGGGTAGTGCGGCCCGCTTCCAGGGGCCACGTGGGGCCGGGGTCGGGGAGGCACCGACGGGCTCGGAGGAGCGAGGGGGTGCCCGACTTGGGAGGGGAAACTTGAGCTGACATTTCTGGCTCAGAGCGGAGTTTCCGAGCGCCAGGATGTGCGGACCGCCGGCTTGAACCCTCGGGCTGGAGACACCGCAGCCGGCGGCTACATTGTCGGGCTAAGAGTTACGTTGTTGCGCTGGAGCGATAGAGTAGAATGTATCTCTCACCGCGTCCTCAAATTTGGCTCCCTGTTGGACTTGAATAGTGTGTGTGGTTTGTCGGGGGGCACAACAAGGGTTTTATTGACTTGAGAAGGGTCAACACAGCTCCACGACTTAAACTAGATTTCCTAGCCATTTCCCCTTAGATTCCCTGATCCACGAGCGGATGGCTGCTGAATGAGAAGAGTTCTTTTCTAAACGAGTTTCTAAATTTACCAGCCGTGTCCCGGAAGAGGCCAACACATGCATATTCAGCACCAAAAAAGACTGGCACCGTTTTTTTTTTTTGACAAACTGGGGCCTCGCTCCCTGAAGGGTGGGCGGGAATGTGCTTTCTGTTTTTATGAAAATGTCAAGGAACTTCTCTGAATCACATTAAGCATGCTAATTACCAAATATTAAATGCTAATTGCTCTGCACGCCTAGTTCTTCGCATGCCAAGGAAGGGAGAGGAAACTGGTATAAGCTACTGGTGACATTATGACAGGGATGCTTTTTGACTGACATTTTGCAACCTCCACTTGGAGGTGGGAAGCCTGCGTCCCCTGTCTTAACCTCAGATGAAAACCACAGTAGTGTTTATCATTCAGTGCAAGCCTCAAGCCTACAGCAACAAGGGAACTTGATTGAGTTTAAGCTCCTTTTAAAGGGGAGGTGAGCCAAGGCAGTAAAAGAATTGCTAGGAGATGGCGCCCATGCAACTGTTACTCGCCCGGGGTCAGGATCAATCAGCAGGTAAGACTAACTGGTATGTCCAGTTACTACAGACCTGATTGGATTCAGCCCTGTGCTTGGGTCATAGGGTTCACATCACAGCCTGCACATCAAGGTATTTATGCCTTTGAGCTCTGATAGCCTGTTCACTTCTCTGTACCCTGAGCCAGCCGGTAAGTTCCATGAGATTAGGAATGGTGTCTGTAGCTGACAGCACTGGCTAACAGGCTGAGTAAACAGGGGAGGCCAGAATGCTGGTCCAGGCACCCATGCAGTCAGCTGTCTTGGCTTTCTTCCAGGCGCTGCATAGCTGAGCCCAGATGGGGGCCCTGGCATTCCTGGGGCACTGCATGGGGTGGGGGTGGGGGGACAGTGGAAGAACACGTCTATTCCCTTCCTCCTGCAAGCTGAGCAGAACTGCTTCAGCATGTGCATCCTCCGACGAGGACAATAAATGACACCCTTTGCCCTCCTGTAGAGGAAGTAAAGCCATGGTCTTGGCCTCAAGCACCAACAGCAAATGGGACTTCTAGGCTAGTGTGTATAGCAGTAGCTCAAACCTTCCAAGTTCAAAGAAAACGAAGGCCCTGAATATATTTGAGGCAAAAAAGTTCCCAGATGTTCAGGACCATGAGCTCAGAAATGTGATCCAACTTCAGATCCCAAGGAGGAAAACCAGCAGTGGCCATCATTACACAGCCCAGTTAAATGTGCAGCTGATGTGGAAAATCAGAATGGAGAAGACCAAGGTAAAGTATGAAATGTTTCCCCAAATTCAGACCAATGTGCATTTAAAATTCCATTATAAAGCATTACTGATCAGCAGGTCAACTGTCCCAACCTCCTAAAGGGTAGATGTTATATAAAAGGACAAGAGGTGGGAGAATGGCCACTGTCCAAAGCAATGGATTAAATGGGGCTGCTACAGGGTAAGAATGTGTATCTGTCATTGGCTGGCACTTGGAATCATTTTTCAAGCATTGTGTTTAGCCAGGTAGACAGCTGTGGCTGAGTGGGAATGAACTTGGCTGGTACGTGGTGTTACTTGGTTGAAAATGCTTATGGCAAGCTTTCTAAGGACCACAAACAGCAGTGTACCTCCTCGAGCAAAGAGCCCCCTCTGCTCATAAATTCTCTACCTCCAACCCCACTGGCCCTGCCAGACCATTCTCCCAGAGCACGGGCCTCATGGTTCAGAATCACGGAGCAGCTCCTGACCTGGCCCGGGAGCCGCACAGGGGCTCAGACACGGCCAGCCCTCGCAACAATCTGTGGGAAAAAGTTCCAAGAAAACAGGTTCCTTGTTTAAATATTTGAAAGACAAAAATAATGGTATTATTATATGCTTTCTTGATTCAATAGCCCCTCTCAGGATTAAAATCAAATGGAATTCTGAAGAAATAATCAGAGATTGGGCCACAAATTTATACAAGTTCAATGTTGCATTAAAAATAGTACAAAAGGGAACAGTTTTCAGAGCTTTCTGAGATGCTCTCCCCCAAATTTGGCTTGAATAAAATTTTCCATTTCTTTCTCAGATCAACTGATTAATTTTTTGCCAGCATATTCTTGGTGTGGTCAAGGCAGGGTATCTGAGGCACCAGACGGCACCTGGGGTCTACCTAGAACTACTAGCGCTCGTTACCAGCAAGGGCCCCCTGAGCCCCACGGGCTTCTCCGCACTCCTCAGGAGTTCCAGTGAGTTCTTCTGATAGTCTGATCTCATTGTTTGGGTGATGATCCTTAAAGATTTATTCTAGCTGGTTTTCATTTAAGACTTGGAGTCTTGGTTGGAAAGGAGAGGGTACAGCTCAGTGGTAGAGCACACGCTTAGCACGCACAGGGTCCTGGGTTCAATACCCAGTACCTCCATTTTAAAAAATTTAAAAAGACCAGTGAAACTGAGTACATTAAGGGAAAAACAAACTTGGAGTCTTAAGGGGCACTGGTGCGTTTCCTAGTGAGGGAACATAGGGTGAGGGGCCCAGGGAAACATAGGTGGCTGGGTTTTTGTTAAATTTGGCTTAAATTGAAAAAAAATGACTTGATATATGGCTTGAACAAACTTTTGCTAGTGAAATGAGAGAGTGAATTATTCAGCTCCAAAGAACAAAGAGACGTTGCTTCTTCGGGCCAAAAGTTGACTGAGGACCTCGCGGAAGCATCTGAGAATCAATCCTCCCACCTACGGTGGTCCCAGAGGGGAAGCCACCACCACCGCTTATCAGGGACACGGCAGAGGCTGACCACCTAGCGCTCTGGGCACTGCGGCAGCTTTAGCCTATCACAGGGAGAAACCGAGCAACATAAAAGAAATCAAACCAACCCGAGGATGACCTCTTGGGAAGCTAGACTCAGTGATCCACAGACTGTCCTCAGAGAGTTGCTCAGATCATATCTCATATCTGAATTAGGCTACGAAAGTAATACTGGAAACTGTGCTTTGAAGGCCAGACAGCTCCCTTGCAAACAGCCATCTATGGGAACACCAGCTGGGTTTATGTAGGCTTGCAAGGACTTAACTGGGAGCTAAAGGAAACTGGGCCCGTGAAATGGCCGAGGGGTTCTTTTGACATTACAAAACTGGATTTTGAGGACACAGTTGTAGCTGGCAGTCTTCTGTGCCTGCAGGGTCTACTGTAAACAACAGAGGTGTTTTTTTCTTTTCTAAAATTAGACTAGCAGGGAAAAATATTTGTGGGGCTAGTTCCATGGATCATTTGAATTGGAGAAATCTTTAAATTTTTAAAATTTTAGGGAGCTCTTACCTTAAACTATTACATGTATTTTAATTGGAACCTCCAAAAGGCTTCAAAATTCCCAGATACCCTCACTGAAAGATTTGTTGAAGAAGGCTAATGAGAGTAATGATATAAATGGTGCCTAAAAATTTAACTACTGCTCCCCTCTGTCCTTTATTTGAGCACTCATTCTAGTCATCTTCTGAACTGCCTTTCTACTCAGAAGGTACTATCAAATGGTTACCTTCTGAAATGGGACCACATGAGGCTGAGCCTTTTCAGATCAAAGGACTGAAATGAGGGCCATAGAGAACTTAAACCCAGGGGAGATCCCCAAAAGTGTTGTAAATAAATTACCAAAATGGGAGGCCACTGGTCTGACTAAACCGACCACAGCTGATATTCGGAGCCTGATAGGAATTTTGCAGGGAAGCCTTCTCCCCTAAGTTACATGAAGGGAAGCAAAACATTCCAACATAGGTTAATGGGTGTGTTAGTCCTTTGATATCACTGAGGTGGCCACCTAACTCTTGGAAGGAAAAAATAAACAAACAGAAAAACCTCCTTGTTTTGCAAATCTAGTATTTACAGGATCAAAAGTGTAGTTCCAGAAATAATCCAAAACCCGCTAGATCCTTTTACCACTCCCCAAACCTCCCCTATTTATGTTAAAAGGCTAAGAAATGAGAAAACTCCCCCCCCCACCCCCCGGGCCTTTAGGGAACAAAGTCAACCCAAGAGGAATTTGCTTTTCTCCTCCTATGCCTTTGAGATGCAAATACGCTACCTGGTCTTCTCCAGGAATCCTTATTTCCACCATTTTTTAAAAATGCAAATTTCAGAGAAGTGGGTAGGTAATTTGGGATTTGTCAAGGACAAATAGAAATTTTAAGTGTCTTCTCCGTAAATATTAGTAAAAAGGGTCTAGCCATCTAGACAGATGACCTTGATTTGTTCCACCTGCCAGAAACCCCATCAGAATCCAACTTTTGCAACTGATGGGTTATGCACTGTACCTGATTCAGGGCTGAAACTTAGATGGGAACTATGAGGTCTCTGTGTTTGTTTGCATGTATCTATGTGTGTGGTAGATGTGTGGTACTGCCAAAATTAATTTGTAAAAGAGCTCTATTAATTGCTTAAAGGAAATTAAGCACTTATATAAATACTCAGAAATATAAAGTTTTCACGTGATCTGAAAAATATTCAGTAGTGAATTAGTATCAGTGATTGGTGTCAAAGTTAGCTTAGCTTGTTGGTTTGATGCAGACATGTCTTTACAGTCTGTTATGTATACCTGAGTATAATACTTCTACTGTACCTAGGTTACATCAAATAAGACCTTATATTCCTGTTACAAAGTTCGTCAGCAAGAAAAATAAGGAAATGACAAAACTTTTAGGTAAATAAAACAGAAGTAAAAGAGAAGGACTTTTAGGTAAACTCTTTAGGAATAACTGTGTTTTGGGAACTCCTGCTTTAAGCATAGTACCCAGAAGCTTTCTGAGGCATGTAGGAAGGCCACCTCCTAACAGGCACAGGAATCTCATGGTATTTTGGGGACCTCGAGAAGAGGAATTCACCCCAATCCATCACCCAGATGTATAGATACCACCGTCAGAATCTATGACACGCCCTTGGTATGACTGTCCTGACTTTTTTCAATCTGAGATTCTTTATGAAAAGTTCCAGCACAGCCAATTTAAAAGAGTCTATGTGGACAATTAATCTTTGGCAGATATTTGGCAGAAATGACAATAATTTTAGAAAGAAAAAGATTATGTTTCAGTAAATATTAAGTTCCAGGTGGGGATGGTATAGCTCAAGTGGTAAAGTGCATGCTTAGCACGCACAGGGTCCTGGGTTTAATCCCCAGTACCTCCTCTGAAAAAGAAAGAAAGAAAGAAATCTAATCACCTCCCCCCGACCCCCCGAAAAATTCTAGTTCTATTAACTGAGGTTTGAATTTATCTAAGCTAAGACTTTCCAGACAGCTTCTTATAAAGTTTAGTTATTAAAAGGCTGAGTTTTTTTTCTGAAGTTTATCAGAGTAATCTAATTTTGGATTTGCCATGGCCTGCAACAAGGAGATTATTCACACTGGGAAAGGCATCAGATAAAGGACTCATGGGCAGCCACGTTGGCAGGGACCGTATCAGGCCTCTCCTGAATGAACTGACATCTGATTTCATCTAAGACCAGCACTACCAGACCAGTTCAAGAAGACAACATCTGAGATAGATGCTGACCAGGACCAGGCCTGTACTGATCACTCTGACAACTGCCCACACTTTTGCTTGTGAGCCAAATGTATTTCTTGGGCTCAGTCACATACAAGTTTCAAAATCAATCCAACTCCTGGGTTTGTGGCTAATTACCTTTGTCCAGCACACCCAGGTTGCCTTGGTGGAGTTCACCTCTCCAAGGCTCTACTGGGTGGTCTTTAAAATTTTTATTTTAAAAGAAAGTCTAAAAATAAAAAATGTAAAAAATAAAAAAACAAAAAGGAAGTCTAGTACTGTGCAAGCTGATGTTGCCACCAGCATCACCAAGTGAGACCCCTTTTACCTGCCTGGCCAATTAGTGATGCCTGTTTTGGCCATAAATAGTCATTTACGTTAATGTTGAATATTGGGTAGCTCTTAACAAGACCCAATGGGTTTACAGAACAAGTTATGACCTTGGCTTTCCCCAGGCTGGTTAGGGAGATGCACAATTGGCTTCCTTTGGACTCAAGGTCACAGGCAGCCTTGGAAACAGCCCCTGCCAATCTGTCAACCTGCAGGGCACACTGGTTTCTACCAGTTTTCCAATGATATGATCATTTGGCCACGATATTTGTTAACTCCTCTTATGACCCATGAAGAGTCAAATTTCTGCTCTGAACAATCCTACCAGTTTCGGGGAAATGCTAGGAAAATGGTTTGGTTAAGGAGGATTTTGGCTTAAATCTTTGCTAAAGATATTGTTGCTCCTACTACCAACTTAAATTATAGTTTGTGGAACTTACAAGGTGATCGTTTCTTGTACTAGATTAATGATGTCTACGTGACTTGAAACTATACATCACCTCTGTAGTTCTCTATAAAATAATGGGCATTCACAATGCACGTGCGAGGAAAATTGACTCAGGTCTCTTGTTGGACAACCTACAACTGGCTGTCAATCCTCGCTGAACATTCTACTCATACAACCACCAAATGAGAGAACCAGGCTATCGGGACCTGGCCTGGCAGACCGGATGGACCCTGGGGCAGGCAAGCAGCACCCTAGCTTTGAGACCAAACTTTTGGACACCTAGTGCTTTCTATCGAAAGATTAACGATCAACAGGAGGAAACTGTGAAATAAAATAAAATTTTATGGCAAGATAAAAAAAATTTAAACATAAAAAATTCTCTGCCCTCTGACCTCATCTCCCCACACTGTGCGCTGTGTATCTGCTTTATGCACTGACCAGCCCTCCTCCATCGGCAGGAACACCTACTCAACCTTAAAGAGCAGCACCCTCCCAGTTTTAAGACAGCTCCTTAAAAGATAACACTCCTTCTGGAGCTTGTAAGGGGTCACGTGACCCACCAGGATGCCGCTTACATCTGGATTATGTAAACCGTCAATAATAAGTCATTTGATGTACAGCCCTGTCTCAAAAAACTTACCTAACTGCGCCTTGATTTCTAACTGGTGGAACAGTTCTCAGAGCCTTCTCAGATGCTCTTCCTGGGTTATAATCCTCAAATTTGGATTTCTATTTCTTTCTTTAAAAAAAGTACATAAAGGAAACCTAAATGTTCCATAATGGGGGTTAGCTAAAATGAATTTTAGAATGAGGAAAGTCTCATAAACTTTAAAGGTGAAAAACTACAGAAATACAAAGCCAAGTTTATAGGGTAAATGTATGTACACATGGTAAAACGTCTTTCTATCAAAATACTAACAGTTATCTCCCTGCAGTAGGATTACAGATGATTTAATTTTTCTCTTTGCATTTTTCTATGTCTTCTTCATTCCCTATAATAAACATGTCATTACTTTTATAATCGGGAAAAAATGAAGTTAAAAAAAAAAGGGAGAGAGAAAGGAATAGTGGGGGACCAGATCCTCAAGAAGCCGCTCTAAGCACCCAAGCTCCTTTTCCTGAAGGTATTTTCCACCATCTGGCTTCATTCGTATTATCTGAAGGCACGTGAACCAGGTGAAAAGGCCCACGGAACCGTCTTTCAGTGGAGACTTGGGAAGCGCACTCAGGCCTTGAGCCGCTGCCCTCTCCTGAGTCACAGGAGACTCCAGCATTCCTTCTCGTGGGTGGTTCTGATCTCTCCAAGGGCACACTTACCCACAGACAGCCGAGGATGGCGGTCTGGACGGATATCTGCTCTTTCCCACCAGAGCTGTGGTGGCAGCAAAAGAAGAGTCAGGAACCAGCTTTCTTCCAGTAAGAATTATTTTTAATGGTTTAAAAATGAGTCTGTACAAAACCAGCACCACAGTGTGGTGCTTCCAGTCCACTGGGGGGTCCCAAGGGTCTCTTCCAACACTATCTCTTTGGCCAACTGTGCCTGAAACCTCTGTAGAGACAGTATGAAAACAAGAGAGTTAGTTCTTCCAGTGTGGCTGGATGTTGGCTCTTGGCCAGTTTACAAAATGTGAACCTTAATAATACAGAACCGAGGGGAAACGCCTGGGGGTCCCGGAGAGCTGGGCTGGCCCAGCGAGGCGGGTCTGAGCTGACCAAGCCCTAGAGGCCTTTCCCCATCAGGCCACACCCTCAGGGCCAGCTCGAGGGGTTAGGGTTCCTGCTTTTAACTCAAATATTCTTGAACAACGACAACCCCCACTTGCTTATTGATTTCTTTCTCATTGCTCAGAAACAAGCTGATCTAGGCAAACTTCAAACCTATTAGCTCTGCCGTGACCCTGTGGAGCTGTGTGGTTCGGGGAGAGCTAGGCAGGACTGGAACTGGCGCTCTGGGACGCAGTGGCGTCCAGCTGTCACCTCTGCCTCCCAGCTCACTTTTTTTTTCTGAACGGCAAAGAGAGGGATTTGGTAGGGAGAGGCTCCCTGAGAGTCTTTCCAGATGAGGCCTCTGGGCCACTCGCTGGGCTCCCCGGCCACGCCGGCCGTCTTGCACCTACCTGTCTGACTTTCCCGTTGGAAAGGACATGCTTTTGTTTCCCATCGACTGTTTAATTTTTTTGGCTGCAAGGCATTTCTGAAAAGACAAGGAGCCATTTAAGCCGTGTGACCACCACAACCACAAGAGCTCAGAACGCCCATCAGACTCCAGCACCACTGCTGTGACTCTGGTTTTCTTGCAGCTGGATGTTTCTGGGCATTTCTGAAGGCAAGGCTGTCAAGGTGAGCTGCTTCAGGAACGGGAGGGCTCTGCACAGCCCTCGCCTTCCACATGCCAAACATCCAGCCACACTCCACGCCGGCTGGCAGCGGGGCAAATGCAGGCTTGTGCTGGCACCGCAGGGAGTGTCTTCGGCCGGCGGCTGTAATTCCCATGGCAGCAAACAGTAACACCCTTCAAAACCACACACCCGCTTTTATAGACTCTAAAATTTTTTTCTCTTGCTGGAACAGTTGATGGGTATTGTCTGTACTTGGGAAGAAATGAGGTGAGGGACAAGATCTGCGAAGGAAAAGGATTCCTAGATGGACCTGTCTTCTCAGCAATGGAAGAGGTCAAAAACTCAGCACCTCCCGGGGTGGGTGCAGCTCAGTGGTAGGGCCCATGCTCAGCATGCCCAGCGTCCTGGGTTCAAGCCCCAGCACCTCCACGAGCGAACAAACAAGCAGAACAAGGCGAAAGCACCTCAAGCACGCTACAGTTCTGCCTGTCTCTTACCTTGCCGGACTGGGGCTGCTTATTTGGGTCAAACTGGGGAGACGGTTTGGATTTGCTGTTTCCTGAAAGGTAAGGGAAGAAAGAGGCTGGTGACTGTGTGAATGAGCTGATGCACACAACAGACTACTGGGCCGGACGCACAACACTCGGAAGGGTGGGTTGTCAGTCTGCTACCCTCTTTCCGGTGAGAAACTTATGGCTGATGTAAGTTCACAGGTCATGTTCCGAACAGGCAAGGGCAGCCTGGAGAGCAGGTTCCTTTCTCATAAGTCTAGTCACAGGAGGTCAGGGGGCAGGAGGCTAAAGCACTGCCCACTTTTACATCAAGGAAATCCACCTGGTTTCTGTGCAGGATGAAGCCACTGTCGGTAAACTGGGAGCAGAGGTGACATTCCTGCCGAAAAAACTGCTGTGCTGCCCAGGAGGCTGCTACGTCCAGTCAGGAATGCCACCTGCAGCCCCTTCAAAGCAGACGGACTCTCGCAGGCTACGGAACCACAGAGCTTCATCTCACAGGCATCAGATTTTCTCAACAAATAAAATCTTTACTGTGTGTGTGTATCTGTGAGGAAATGTGTTTCTGGGCACAAGCTGCTGTTGAGGAAGGGTGGAGCCACTATCAGAATGGACAGCATCTGCAAGTCAGCAGCCCCTGCAAGTCAGCCCCAGGGGCCGAGGGCGGCGGGCTTCCGTCCGGTCACCGCGGTGCCCTGTGTTGCCCTCATGGTTCCTGGTTCCAGCCACGCCTCTGGTGTGGTTTAATTTCTGCCGAAGTCATGCTCTTTCTTGACTGCACTGCCCCCTCCCACCTAACGTGGCCAGATGGTCCCTACAGGGCACCAGTTCAGGTCTCACCAGCAAAAGCCTTGAAATCCGACTTGCTGTAGTCGTAAGGGGTAAACTCTTTTTCTGGTGGATCTGGGTCTTTTGGCTTCTTGGAAGTTTTCAGTCGTTTCTTCTCCTGTTTCTGTTCTGTCGTCCTTGGATCACTCGTTGTCCGCTCTCTCTTCTTGGCAGTGTTCTCTAGCTGTGGATCCAAAAGACCCATAATAAGGAAGCCTGAAACCGTCCGGGAGAGGGGGCCGCCCTGCGCGCCTCCTGTGAGCACACCGCGAGGGCGGCACCGCCTCCGGGGCTGTATGGATGCAGTGTCTGGGAGAGGAGAACGACATCGGGCCACTAAGCAGGGCAGGGTAAGCATTCCAGAGTGCTCCGGGTGCTGGCGAAGGAGACACTCCCCAGGCCTGAGGCCTTGTCTCCTACCCCAGGCAAGCGGGGTATTTACCACAAACACAGCGGGAGAAATCCTCTTGGGGGAATTACGACAAAACTTTTTTGAGGGGAAAGGAGACAGGCCCTACTTGACAAGCCAACAGGAACTGGGAAGAAGCAAGCATTTAATCTGAAGCCGAGGGTAAGCCCTCCTGATATCAGAGGAAAATCCTGACCACGACCAGGGGCATCGCATTTCTCAGAAGAAAAAGCAGAAAAGCCAGGACGTACGGCGGCCTGCTGGCGGACAGACACGGCCTGCTCCGCTGTTGCTTTATACTCCTCCTCGGCCTGGTCCCGGGCGGCTGCGGGAGAGAGAAGCGTCTCTGTGGCTCTGATGGCGGCAGCCCAGCCTCCGTCCTCCTGACCTCGTTACCCCACCTGAGCTCGGCCTCTCTGCCCCTCAGCCCCCTTTGCTGCTCCCACCCCATCTCCCCAAATCCCCGAAGGACGGCTGCCTGGGAGTGAGGACCCCGACACTTTTCTCATTTTCGCCCGCCCTCTCGATCCACATCCCTACCTGATCCTCTCCCAGAACCCAACCCACTCATCCAACTCTCGACAACTCTCTGAGGACACCGCATAGGGATGTCAACTGTAACGTGTCAAGGACCAGAATAAAACCTTCTCCACATCACACTGGCTCCCTCTGCAGCCTCCCTGACGGCAGCTCCACCTCTAGGGTTAAAACCTCCTGCATCCACGCCCCACATTCACGTCGTCATCAGATGCTGTCAGCGCTGACACAGGGTACAGCCAGGCTCTGACAGCCTCTCACCGTCTCCTCTACTGCCGTCTCGTCCATGCCAGCATCGGTGATCACCTGGATTCCTGTCCTGTCTCCTAACTGGTCTGCCCGCCTTGTCCTCTAGTCTACTCTCAACACAGTGGCCGGGTGAGCCCGCTACAACCTGTCAATTCACAGCCCTCCTCTGCCCAGAACCTTCCAGAGCTCCCCAATTCACTTGGAATGAAAGTCTGAACAATGGACCCTGCCTGCTCTCCTCCCCCTTCTCACTTCATCCACTTGGCTCCCCGACCACTCTGAGCCCGCACAGCGACCTGCCACGCTGGGGCCTTGGCCTTGCTGGGCCATCAGTCCGGAACACACTCCCCAGATCACCGCAGGTCTCTGCTCAATGCCACGTTCACTGGACCGCCTCCTCCGACTGCAGTACAGAAGCAGCCCTCGCGCTCCCTAACGCCCACCCCCAAGCACTTCCTACACCTCCCTCTACGGAAGTACCGGCTGCCGTCTCACAGTCCCACGATTACGGTGTCCTGCCCACCGTCCCTCAGCAGAAGGGAGGCTGCGGAGGGCAGGGCCTGGGCCTGTTTGCTGTACCTGGCGCTCCCCGATGACTGAGTCAACAGAGCGCTGTGCACGAACTGCTCTGAAACAAACGCGCCGACCGAGTCCGCAGGGAGTGAGTGCTACGCTACCTGTTCGCTCAGCTGCCTTCTTCTTGGCAAGTTCTTTAGACTCTTTTTGTACCTGTACCTGGCTTGCCAGCTTCCAGCGGTTGCTGATCTACAATGAAAACAAACAAAACAAAAAAACTCCCGAACTCAGCCACCTCGGAATGCTTTATTTTTTAGTGAGGTGAGGCAGAGCGTGCTCACCCAATAACTACGCACATTCTATGGCACAAATTCCGTATCTAATGACACACAATATAAAACCTCATGCTGGCTTTGCTCATAAAATACTTATTAAAAAGGATAAAGTACAACTGTACTCCAGGCACTGGGCTGGCTGCTTTCCTCATTCAATCCCTTCCATAATCCTGGGACGAAGGTATTACCCCACTCCCACTTTACAGACAGAAGGCAGGCTTGGAGAAGCTAAATAACTTGTCTAGTGGGACATGGCTAATAAATGGCAGAGATGGTATTCAAGGCAGGACTCCTGCGAGTCTGATGTGCTTCTTTATGACACCACATCTACCTGTGGCACTGGAACACACCGAGGTGACACTAAGCATGAGCCTGGCACGGGATCTGTGGTTGCGGGGTGTGCCACACCAGTGAGGGGAAGCGGAGAGAAGGCGGAAACTCCACCTGACTCCGCATGTCTAAAACAGCAGGCTGACCACCAGCGACAGGGCTGAGGCCCCCGAGGTTCTGGACTAATTCTTCTTGCCTAGTGGAAGAGCAGTACTGGGGGCAGAGGGGGCCAGGCTGCCCATCTGATCAGAGCAGTACTTCCTGCACGGAGGAAGGCTTCTAACAAAGAGCACACGGGCTCCCAGGAACATCTCATGGGGACCCAGGGAAGATGTGTTTATTCTTATTCATAATGCTGTTAAAAACAAACCACACAACATAAGACAGGGTGTTTTAAAATTTAAGCTGTCACCTTGAAGAGCCTTAAAGTAATATTCATATATAAAAATGCATCAAGCTGTACATTTAGTATCTGTGTACTTTACAGCATGTAAATTAAACTTCAATTTAAAAAACAAAAACCAAAGACCTGTCTCTTACAAAGTTTCCAAATGCTTTTGAGAATCTGATTACAGCCTGGCTCCTCTCTCTAGAAACACTACGGAGCAGCTCTCGAATTCGTTTTCAGGGAGGTTCACAGATGGGCTTGTTTAAAACAGAAACCAGGTTTAAGACATTAAGAAGTCCCCTTTTCTTAGAAAGTCACTCTTAGAAAGGGTGACAAATCCACTTACTTCATAGATTTTTGATGACGGATCAAACTTTGCGGCCTGAGAAATATGAGCCCGGTGTTCTAGTGAAGGCAGAAACTGGAGAAATGGAAACAGTTGTGTTAAATGTGGTGAGAAGCGGAATCTGGACCCAGAGTCAGTGACACTGAGATGGGGGTTTCCTGGCTGGTTCCAGCGTAGGAGGCCTCAGTTCAAAGTGTCAGCCTGGCCGTGACTGCCTGGCACTCAAGCGAGGTCTTCCTGTTGGTCCTAGAGGACTCGACTCCGAGTCTCAGGCCGGCCGCCAGGGGCAGCTTCACCGTACTAAGGCTTTAGCTTCCAGTCTCTGAGGACTCTTGGCTTCTTTTCCAGGCAAAAGGCACCTACAGCTGCAGAAATTTCCACATCTTCTATCCGCCCTTAACGCACACTGCCATTACTTACCATCCTAAATGGATTTTCAAAGGACTCCATTATGTTCCGGGCTTTCTTCTGTGCTGTGGTTAATGGACCCTTCCGTTTTCTTCAGCACTAGGTTCCTGCAGGGACGGAAAACGACCACTTACAACCCTAATCATCTTGTGACGTTAAAATGCGAGCAAAAGAGTAACAGTAATAATGACAGCTGATTTTTACGTTTATTTCTTATTTAAAAAAATTTTTAACTTAAATTTTTAAAAGTGAAATATAGTTAATTTACAATATTAACAGCTAACTTTTAAAGAGTCTTGTATGTATAAGGCCCTGTAATAGCCTCTAAGAGTACACAGTAGGGTGTTTAATACATATTTATTGAATCACTGAATTCTCATGGTGTCCTTACAACCTGTGACGTTTACGGCATTATTCTCACCATCCTGCAGATGACGAAATAGGCTTGGAGAGACTAAGAAAGTCTTCCAGAGCCTTACAGCTAACAGGGGCAGAACAAGGACTTAAATCCAGCTCCGCTGGCTCTACAACTTGAGGTTGTAGCCTGACACTCACCTGAAATTTAAAATCATAAACCTTTATGGGTAATCAATGAAATTATGCAATAGGATGTTGATTCCAGCTGGGTTCATGGATGCGAGCTGTCCTGCTTACGCTGTAGCTGGGTCCCCCCCTCCCCACAGAGCATGGGGGTGCAGCCCCCTTTAGACCAGGCACCCCCCTTCCTTGCTCAAACGTTTAGCTGCCTAATCACCCTAGTGGATCAGTTAACCCTGAGGTCAACTAAAGGTCCTAGACTCCTTGTCTCATGAATTACAGGAGCAAGACTAACTGCATGGAATGAAGTGAACAGGAATGTGAACTCCCTGGCGGTACCTCACCTCCCTGGCCCTGGCCCGCATTCAAGCCTGAGGGGAGAGCTGTGACCGGTAATTGCGTAGCCCACTCAGCCACCCAGCTTCTCGCCCTGCGAACATTTGTTAAGTTTGCCGCTTGTCTTCATCCAAATGAAGAGTATTCTTGCTTCACTTGCTCAGTTCTTTCTAGAAATTCTGGTTTTTCCTTTCTATCACATCTGCTGTTTGCAGTATTTAGAGTTTCATCGTGGGGTTTCCTTTTATCCCTGGTCGTTTCAGTATTCATCCACCCTGACTGACAGATGCACCCAGGTCTTCCTTTTGCAAAGAACCTGCAGCTGAAGTCACCGGCAGCAAGGAGACGCGCGCTGGGTGGGACAGCAGGGATAAGCTCTGTCACGTCCCAGCACAGATTCCAGAGACACAGCCTGGCCCAAGGGGGCCACCTAGGACTCCTGACTGGACGGACTCTCTGCCCGGACTCAGCCTCCCTTAGGGATAGGGAACCAGTTCCTACCCACCTCCTGGTGCCTGCATCCCCTGCTGCTCACCTCCTCCAATGAGTTATACTGTGGAGAAATGCTTTTGAAGTTTGTTTTTTTTTTCATCCAGAGCACATACTGATGGTGCTGGCGGCAGTCAGGAAGGTGTCTGCAGCACACACTGTACATTTTAGCAGAGAGCTCGCTCCATCCCTCTGGGGAACCAGGTGAGCTAGCCCTCAACAACAGATATCCAGGGGAAAAGTCCTGCGTACGCATCACTGGAGCCCACACACACCTCCCTGCGAGGCATTAGTGAGTATCAAGATGTCAACCTTCCTTGAGGATTTCTTGCAAACACCATCTTGCTGGTTGCCCCCACGCCTATCCCTACTGGCTTTTACTTCGAGTCAAAGGTAGCCCAACCCCCCAGGATCTTCGTCATCTCGCCGAGGGTGGTACTCACGTTAAACAACGTGATGACAGCGGTGGCGATGAGGCATCTGGTGTCCAGCAGAGCCTCCCCGTCTTCTCGGCCGGGGAGGAGGCCGTCCTGTTTCTGCGCTGGCTCAGGTCCTACAGATACAGAAGTCAGCGCAGTCAAGGCCGGCGCGAGGGCACACAAGGCGGCCCCAGCCTCCCAGGGTGTCCCGGCGGGCCCTTTGTTACCGCTGGCTGGGACGAGAGGATAGCCATCTGACGGGGCGTGGGAGCAGTCGTGAGGGCCAAAGAGAACGTTCTCCAATCTCTGCATCAAAAAGCAAGCAACAGGTCTGCATTAAAAACCTCAGCCGCGTGGCAGGTTTCTGCCCCCGGTGTTGGGCACTGGCGTCTGTCAGGGAGGTTAACTCTGTGCTGTCTTTTACCGATGACGTCTTTCCCCAGGGAGGAGACAATAGATGAACCACTCTACCTCAGGGGTGGGCTGCGGCCCGCTCCTCCTCGCTCCAGCTGCGACTTCAGACTAAAGAGTAAAAACAAAGAGAACGTGAGGGAGTTCCCTAAGCCTGGGGACGCACGCTTCTCCCTCAGCCCAGACGTGTCCCTTCACTAGGCTGTGCTTCCCAAGAGCCAAGAGATTTTCTTTCTTCCCTTCATCCCCTCCTGTGCCTGACACTGTAATCACTTAGTGCTCATAATTATTTGTTGGATGAAAGAATAAAACCCTTTATCATGACAAGGCACAATATAGAAGGACAGCAAAGATCCTCCTCTAGTCACCAGCGTTTCTGTCTTTACTTGGACAAACTACAGAGCCAAGAAAGAAGCAATAATGTGAAGACTGTAAATCTGCTTCTTCTCAGATTCTCCTCTCTTTCACCTCAAAGGGCTGATTTTAAGTTTTCTGGGATCAGTAATCTTTCAAACAATTACAAACATGATTTACCACCTACTGATATTACTACTGAGGCAACACATTAAAAATTGTCCCAATAAAACACAAATGAAAACATGCCAATCTGTTTGAACACATTGTATCATCTACCCAAGAGCAGACACACACAGAGACGCGTGCTGCTGGACTCACACCTGCGCGTCACATACCCTCACACAGACAGAAACGTAATCGTATCATCGGCCGGGTGTCCTGCTTTCATCTAAATCTGTCTACACTCGAGCATCACCTTCACAGCTAGCTGCTTCTGAACCCCCCTTTTCTATCCAAGGTTCTCATGTTTCCCGTCACCTAGGCTTTTTGTCTGAAGTGAGTCGTCCTTGACTCCACTTCTGTTATCTTCAAATCCACTTGCCAGTCAGAGGTCACCTCTACAGCACTTGGCATGGTGCCCAAAAAGAAGTGGCAGCCATTGTCATCATCTGTTAAGTCTCCTCAACCTTTTCCTTTGAAGATGGTTCTTGAGGGGAAGGTACAGCTCAGTGGTAGAGCGCATGCTTTGCATGCACAAGGTCCTGGGTTCAATCCCCAGTACCTCCATTAGTTTAAAAAAAATGCATCAAAAATCTAATATAATTTTAAATGAAGACAGTTCCTGACCCTGTCCTTTGCTTTCCATTTCTGTGACCAACACACTCATCAGGGCACTATCACTGCCTTCTGGACCACTGCCAGACTTCCAAAACGAGCTCCCTGCACCGAGAGCCCCACTCCATTTTATCCCACCAGGTTAACTGCCTCTGAACAATAACTAACCAGCCCAGTCACTAGACATCACTTGCCACTGGCTTATCAAAGATAAGGTCATAAAAACAGAAGGATGAGTTTAGCTTTTGCCTATCATCAAGACAGACTCACTGGATTTCCTACATCCTATTAGGTGTATGAAGGAGACAGTACGGAGTAAGATGCTAGCAGACAGGGCTGAGAAGACTTAGCAGCAAAGCTTCTTACCTTGAGCAGAGGCATCTCCCGGGCCTGCTGAATTAAAAGATGCATTTCATTGATCTGCTGCCGTACAAGGGGTGGTACAGGGTTACAGCAAGCTATGATGCCCTGAGGTTCCCTGAAGACAAGAAAGAACATACGCATCACTCAGGAACACAGCCCTCCAACGCTTCCAGAAAAGAACAACAAGCAGGTAAAGGCAGAGTGCTATAGCCAAGGTGAAGACTAAGGAAACACATTCGTGTCAGGGCAGCCGGCCAGCTGCTCCCACACGCCCTCTCTGCCGCGGAGCTCCGAGCAGCCCCGCTCCAGCGGCCTCGGGGAAAGCCGGAGACCAGCGCTAGCACTCTGCTGGCCTGCAGTTCTGCAACCGGGTGAACAGAAGACTGCGAATTTTGATTGTTTGCTTGCACTTCAATTCACATCATAAAACATCTAAAATCATGAGATACCTTGATTTGGAAGAAGGTACAGAGGAGAGAGCCTGAGACATTTTCCTTCCCTTGAAAGGCTCGGAGACCTACATGGGACTTAATATAAGGTGTAAACTTTGAAACAGTTCCAGTTCAGAAGTTTTACTTCCTAAATGCCAGCCCAAGGGCAGGGGTTCCGCATCCCTCGTTCCCCAGGCTTGTAACTTCCTTACAGCACTGATCTTCTCCGAGTAAACAGCCTCGAGGTAAGAACAGTCAGAGAAGCTTGATTCTGAAGGACAACATTTCTCTACTGAGAAAGTCAGAACATATTAATCGTTTCTTAGACTCACTTAGGCAGCTCTTCAGCTATCTTTAGCATCATGTGGTTTGGCAGGACATATCTGGAATAAAACAGGCAACAGGATCACATTCAAGTCAGCCAGCAAGTTCCATTAAGCGCTACAACCCGGGGAAAATGCAACCAACTTTCATGGAAAAGAGAGTCCATTATTTCCTTGTTAGCAGACCTGTTCAGTCTGGAAGCAAGCCGCAGAAGGACCTCTAGTTCCTCACCCATAACTTTCATCCTCCCGGCGAGCTGTCTTGTCCCTCCAGGCAAACAGCAGCTGAAAGGCCGTCAGCTGCTGCGTGTTGAGGTGCTTCTTTTGCTTCCTGTATAGTTCAAGGTAAGATTCATCCGTGAAGATAGGTTTGATGAATTTCTGAAAAATACCAGAGAACAGTCAAGATCAATGGGAATCAATATTGTGCCCTGGGCTCCTTCTCAAGACACTGGGCTCTTTTCATAAATGTGAAGAGCAAAGACAAGGGCCTGATCAGAGCCAGAGCGCCGGGTCTGCGCAGCTCGGGCCGGGTTTTACCTTGAGGCAGATGTCCCTGCTCCGCTGCCACACCACCTGCAGCTGGACGGGCTGCTCATTGCCTCGCTCCCACAGTTCCAGCCTCATTTTATCGTAAATGTAAAGCAGGTAATGAGTGTCATCCCGGGCGTAGTTGAGCATTTCCTCAGGCAGAGGTCTGGAATGGCAACAGAGAATACCGTTTCCCTGGTTTCCTGCAGGGCAGAGATTTGTCTACTCTGCGGGTGCTAAGGCTTTTTTGTTCCTTCTAATATAAAAGATTTTTTCACAGCCAATACCACAGTTCCGTCAGCATTTCCTGCATCTTAACGTGACAAGACATTCTTTTCACAGCTGGGTGCAAAGGGCAGCAGGGTAACGATGTGGTTAACAATAAGCCTTGTTGTCCTGAGTCTGAATCTTAGCCTGGGGTTTGGCATGTGGCAAGGGTTAAATAACAGGCAGTGATTTTTAGATTTTATCAATTTTCATCCTATATTTGGACTTTACTAGGTTCTCTTTGGAAATCCTGGTATGCAGGACTGGAGAAAAGCTTAGTGGCTTCTCCATACGACAGCTGCAACCTCACAGAGGAAGCTGGCCACCCGAAAATGATCAAGTTGAGCAAGAACTCCCTAAAGTGCAGCAAGACTCCGCAACAGTCTTAGCCTGGAGGAAACAGTGGTTACATGGCTTAATCAGCTCTGTACCTTAGAGTTCTCTCATTCCTACGGGAGGTCATCTTGCACACACACCCAAGCATCCCTCCCGGGGAGATCTGAGTTTCACACAAGAGGCTGGCATGGACAAATGCTGAGCCGGCACGGCTCTTTCAACTGCTGTTTCCACGAAGCATAATGTAATGTTTGTTTGTTTAAGAGAGTAGTTCCCAGCTTTTTCAAATATGAAGCATTTTTTAATCTATGTAATATAATCAGCCCAACGTAAACTTCATGTTATTCTAAAACGTCCAGTTGTGCTCATGCTACTGAAGACACCTGGAGAAAAGCCCAATGACATCCAACTCGAGAGTCAAATGTTGTGACAGCCTGAACGCAGGTCTCCACGGATGGAGGTTAACGAACGCCCCTGCTCTCTTCTGCCAACCCTGTTTCCTCGCCGGGAACAAACTGACCGTATTCTCCAATCAGCCAGCTGATACTGCTTGTTTGACTCCACACTGCAGTAGAGCTTCAGCAGGTGATCGAGGGAGTGCCTGCCCAGGTTGAGAAGGCGTGCTGCCTGATGGGTATCAAACATGTTCACCACATATAACCCGAAATCCTTCTGCAGCCATTCTATGTCTGAATCAGCACCATGGAAGACCTGAAAACAAAGCCACAGTCATGCAGTACAAGGGCACAAGGCCACGCATGCTCTGAAAGGAACTCTGTCTCCAGGTTATTAGAACACTGGAATTAGAAGCCGGTATAAAGATTAAAATGGGTTCAGTCTTAAATGCTTCTTTTAATCAGGGCCACGGCCTTCTACTCTCCTAATTGCATACTCTTAACTGCTAACAGTTGAAGATTCTAAGCAAGCTGCTCTGCTGGCTTTCAGGGTAGTCATTACAGACACACAATCTTGACAGCACGGGCTCACTGCAGTAGTCATTAAAGTGATTTAACATTTTTCTGGGTGGTAAAGAGCTAAGTCTAAGCTGTTCCAACAGGGGTTTAGAAACAAAAGCAGTTTAGCCTGTGGTACCCTAGTGCTGGAAATTACAATTATTTCTCTCAGCTTTATTGGGTCTGCGTTGAAATAATGAAAACAGTAAACTGAAACGCACTTGAATCCTGCAAATGCAAGAGCTGGAAAAGGCTGGCCGACCTTAACAATAGCTGGGTCTGTGAGGCTCTCATTGAGAATGTACATGTCACTTCGAAGCTCCAGGGTGTCAACGATGAAGTCTTCTGTGCGGGTGGAAATCTGCATCAGGCAGGTCAGCCCCAGGAAGCTCCTGTAAGAGTGATGCTAAAACACAGAGAAAGAAGGGAGAACAGGAAAAAAATGATTTTCCCAGGCTTACTTTGACTGCTTTTGAAAAGTCAGTTAGAAAGCAAAATGATGAGATTAATTTGTAACAAAAAATAGATTTAAATTAGTATTCATTTTGTACTTTATAAAAATTTTATACTTCTTGAGTAGGTGAACTCACAGAAAACATAAAAACTTCACTCAGTGTCATTTCCTAGTTACCTCCAAGTCTACAGCAAATTCTTGACAATTCAAGAGCTTTTCATTCAGCTCCA